TATGTACCGGGAAGAATCATACGAAGTACTACGCCACCACGTTTCGCGTAACAGGTTTCGCAATATCTCAGAGGGGAAAAATTCTCACCCCAAGGTGTAAAAAAGTATCTTCGTAACTTTATATCATATCGCCCACGATGGCAGCTACTTACGTGCATGGTCTTCAGGCAAGAATCGGCCGCGCTAACACCTGTAACAGGAAAACAAAATATTTAAGGAGCGCTCAAACCGGCTCAAACTCACACATTTTAAAAGTTTAATGCGACGTGACACTGTTCACTGTGGCACGCTTGCAGTATGCTTACGCCCGCCGGTATGCGTCGCGTCCTGACTGTAATAACACCGGACTGCTATCTCAGGTGCCCCATCGACACCGCTGCGACCGTAATCCCCCCCTCTCCCCCACCTCACACAAGTCCCGATCCCAATCCCGGACCACGACGAACGAAGACGACTCGGAATTTTTCTTCCCCTTTTCATTTTATTTCTTTTTGGCCTCCAAATCCCGACACCATCCGAGCGGCCACGTCCTACTACGGCCGCCGTGGTGTTTGTGTAGGACCGTGTGTGCCTTGTACCCTGCACCACCCTCATTTATTACGCCCCCCCCCACCCCCCTTCACTGCCTCTCTCTCTCTTTCTCTCCATCTCTTTTCCTAATTCTCCGTCTCCGTTCTTCTGCTTCACGCAGGCGGGCGCGCTCAACCTCCTCCTCACCTGCTCACGTCTACCTGCCCGACACTTCCTTTCCTTTGTCTTCTTTATCTCCCCCCCCCCCCCCCCCCCCCAGGAAGACTCGCGGCCGAAAACCAACGGCGGCGGCGCACAGCAGGCTTTCCTCCTCTCCTCTTTGTGTCCGTTCTCTCCCGAGTTCTCGCGTTCTCCTCCTCCCACTCCGTCCCGAATCAGACGCCGCAGCGATATAGTAGAGACAGGCGTTCCGCTGACCGTCGTCATCAATGAATCGCAGCCCGATGCGTTCGCCTCCGCAAGACCAGGCCCAACCAGCCTGCGACCAGACGAAAGGAAGTCGCCTCCTGTTTCACCTCTCGTCGTAAAAACGCGCAGAGAGAGAGAGAGAGAGAGAGAGAGAGAGAGAGAGAGAGAGAGAGAAAGAGAATCGAGTCTGTGTGTGTGTGTCGCGAGGTAGAAATCTGCCAACGCTCGCGGTTCGCGTCAGCGTCGCGTGTCCCGTCCGCAGAGGTAAAGTCCTATATCCTACTCTGCTCATAAACGACGGCACGCTGAGAAAAATAAAAAATGAAATAAAACAAGACAACAACACCCGGCACAGGAACACTTTCTTGTTTCATTCACCTTTACCTTTTCCCAGGGCGGCGGCGCTGCGCTGAGAGGTTTTGCGCGGCGGTATTATTAATTCTACCGGTCGGTCATTACACCCTGCTGCCGCACAACAGGTTCCCTGGGCAATATATCTTTTTTTCGACATTTCCGTAGATGTTTTTATTTTTTTAATGCTCTTTATATGCATTTCCACCCCTTTCTTTTCACCAAAAATAAGTCTCCCGTTTTACACCCAAAGCGGCGGCGACGGCGGTGGCGGCGGCGGCTTTGCTTATCGAGCACAGAGTCGTCACAGCAGCAGGAGGTGGTTAAAAATACCCGGCTCACCTACCAGCACTGTACAAGGTTGTACCGACGGGGCAATTTCACCGACAGCGCGCACACATGTGGTAAGTACGGGAGAGAGAAGGGAAGTTTGGGGCGGCGTTCTGGTGGTGATAAGAAGAAGTGAAGCAAACGCCCTCCATTGCCCCTGCACGCGCGAGCAGGAGGGAAAGTATAGTGAGCGGCCAGCGACCACTTGGGCGGATTGATAAAGGCCTAGGTGTGCGCTGCTTCCCCCCCCCCCCCAATCCCCTCCAAGCGGTATTTACAGACACGCATTCCATCCATCTCAATTCGACGTCTTTGCGCTGGCAGCCCCCGCCCGCCCTGGATACGGCGGGGGGCGGCCGGGGCGAAAAGTGTACACATTTACCATCGATCCGCCGCAAACATTGAATGTTGGCGTGACCGTGCGCGGGCGGGCCGGCGCCCGGCCCCCACCCCAGAGCAGCTACTCCGCCCCGCCTGCACCGCCTCGCCCGCGGACCTGCGCGGACCAGCGGACCGCGAGGGTCGCCGGAGACTCCGACTACGAAAATTTATCAAAACATGAGGAACTCCGAAGACTAAAAGACGCGCTTACAGGAATGATGCCTAGAAACGGAAAGGTAACCATTCTCCTTGAGCAGTACGCCATTCAGTATGCTGCGGGTCCCCTTTGCCCCCGCAGCAGGCCGCCGCCGCAGCTCGGCAGGCGGTGCGTGACGGGCCATGCCGATGACGGATCACAGTGACATCTCGTTCACGAATGCCAGCTAAATGCCCTTTGTTTCATTAGCGTGCTCCTTTACGGGGGGCGGACGACCCAAAAGAGGAAATCCCATAAGCTCCCGAGCCGCTTTCGATTTTGCAGCGCTCCTCCGGCCGGTGGCGCGGCGGGGCGCGGCGCGGCTCCCACGGCAGCCCCGTGGGACGGCGGACAAATAGTTTTGCAGCTCGCCAAGATTTCTTCTCATTCCTCGCGAGCGCAACTCGCCTCCATATTTTCCATTTTTGTTGTTGTTTGCGAACAGAAACCTTTTTTACGACACGGGAGAGTAACAACTTCTTCCACAGCCATATCCCAAACGTATACGTAGTGGCGCGCTGGGAGAGAAGGGGGTGGGGGCGAGGGGGAGAGATTCCATGGCAGTGAGGGCATTTGCCAAATCCCATGCCGGGTATTCGCCGCGAGAAAAATGTGAACGGTCCCGGGTATTGCAGCGCGGCGAGTGTCGCCGGTGCCGCCCCCGTGCGCGCCAAGGAACTCGGTGGAGGAAATTGAAACTGTTCTGAGTTTCGTGTGTGTGAGTGTGTGTGAGTGTGTTTGAGAGTGAGAGAGTGAGAGAGTGAGAGAGTGAGAGAGTGAGAGAGTGAGAGAGTGAGAGAGTGAGAGAGTGAGAGAGAGAGAGAG